AATCGCCACCTCTGGAGCGACCAGAAAAACCCAAAAAAATTAAGTATTTGGTCCATTTCATCCCCTAAATATTAACCGATCTTTACCAAAAAAAATAGGGGTCTTCATTGGGCCCAACCCATCCTACATGCAAAATTTCGTGAAGATTGGTCCATAACTGTGGCCTGTATCGTGTTTTCAAATTATAATGGACAAACGGACGGACACACATGTCTAGATCGACTCTGTTAGACGAGATATGACGATCGGTATACTTAAAGGTCGCGGCGTTACAAACTTTTGGGGCTGCACAAAGCTATAATACCCTGACAACATAGTTGTGTAGGGTATAATTAAGCATTACCTTTGTTTTGAACTAATATATTTTACGTCCTACTAAAGAGTTTGCTCAAACAGAAGTCTTGGCCCATTGGACTTTCTTACAATAGAACGTTTATTAATTTCAACGATTTTTCCATCGAATTTCCTTATGTTCAACAAGTTAAAATCATGCATGGGAAAATATATAAAAACTTCCATGCTGTTCATGTTCAGTAATATGGATCAATAATCTCTAGACGACATTAATAAATGTATTTGTTTACGTGTGATCGGTAAGTATTCGCAATTAATTCTTATCACGAATAATTCGGATTACTACTAGCCTGCATTTGAATAGTATAAGTGTATGCTAATGACCTGATGACCAATAGGCAAAGACAAGCAAATATATTTCATTATAAAAGCTTTTATCGGCAACCAAAGAAGGCATACCACCGTCCCACATTCGACTGCAAACAGTATTATTAACACACACACTCCCATCAAAATGTTCAAATTTGTAAGTTCAGTATTATTTGTAATTGTTTGCGTTTGAAATTCAAAAAAACTGTTGTAATTTCCTTAATTCAAGGTCATTGTCTTTGCTGCCTGTTTGGCCTATGCCAGTGCTGTTGTTGTGGCTCCCACAACTTTCGCTGCCGCTGCGGCACCCGCTGTCACTTATGCCAATGCTCCTCTTTATGCCGCTGGTGGTAGCAGCCAGGTTGATGTACGTCACAACTACGATGGTACCTTGTCTTCATACACCACCACACCTTTCGCCTATGCTGGTCCCTACTCTAGCCGTTATGTAGCTGGTCCAGCTGCTTATGCTGCCCCAACTGCCTTTGCTGCCCCAGCAAAGTTTGTTGCTCCAGCTAATTATGCTTCTCCTGTCGCTTTTGCTGCTCCAGCTAAATATGTTTCTCCCGCTGGTGTTGTAGCTCCCTATGCTAACGCTTATGCCACTCCCTATGCTGCTTCACACGCCGCTCCCTATGCCACCTACCCAGCCGGTGTTGCTACTACATATGCTGCCCCAGCTGTTGCCGCCCCTGCCCAAGTTGTAGCTTAAGAGCTTGTAAAGCCAATTATTTTGTAAATTATTCAAAAAATAGTTTTTAAATGTTTAATAACAAATAATTGTTATTTTATAACTTAAAGAAGTAATAATTTCTTTTTTATATTGATTTGTGACTGATATAGTTGATGTTTTGAACATCTATTTTCAATGAAGTTGTCAAACTCACTTGAAACTATACTAAGAATATACCACTCCAGAAATACAAAACTGTAGCCGTTTTTGATGGACAAATATTCAAAACTCCTACATCACGACCTACATCATAACAAGAAAATTAGTTACAATGTGTCGACACAGATTAAATCGAATGATGAATATTTTTGTAAAACTTTTCCTTTTTCGTCTTTATATTCATGAATCGTAAATTAAATACAACAAGACCAGATTTTTGCCATAAAATATTTTACAAAAAAATCAAAGTCGAGAAATCCTTTTTAATTTTGTCCATTTCCTTGCTAAGAATTTTGATTCTAATTATGAGCTCGATTTTGTGTCAGAGTGTCTCATTATGACTTCGACAAATTAAACCAGTAAGGAAAGTAGTAAAGTCGGACGGGGCCGACTATATGATACCCTTCACCACTATGGGTATATTAAAAAGGTCATTAACATAAAATTGGATGAACTAATATATATGACCTTTATCTAAATGTGAACCGACTTAGATCAATCCATAAACATGTCATTCGTTTGTTATAATGGGACCAAATTCTGTAAACCGATTTAAAGCAAATATCAGTCGCGCACCCGTTGAATATTTAAAGCCCAAGTAACACGCAATTACGTCATTCTATTCTGAAAAACATGAAGAGTTTGGTGCACCATTTACTTAAAATAGGACGAAAATAGATATGGAAGCTATATACTAAGTTAGACTAATTTATGCACGTTTGGATCCTATGGACATATTTTGGGTCCTTGGATCCCGCTTAAAATCGGACGAAACTATATGGGAGCTATATCTAAATCTGGACGGATTCCAACAAAACTTGACTATAAAACTATACTATCTTAAGTACGTACACATCATTCTAGACTCAAGTCAGTACGCTATGCCAAATTACGTGGAAATCACATGAATCATTTGGTGAACCATTTACATTAAATCGGTCGAAAATATATATGGGAGCTATATCGAAATCTGAACCGATTTTCAAGAAAATGTATACACATCATTCTAGTCTCAATTCAGTACGCTATGCCAAATTTCGTGGAAATCGAATGATATATAGGGACTTTGGTGAACCATTTACATTAAATCGGTCGAAATTATATATGGGAGCTATATCGAAATCTGGACCGATCCCAATTTCAATAGGGTTCGTCCTTGGGTCTAATAGACTAGCTGTGCCAAATTTCATCAAATTCGGATCATAAATGCGACGTGTACTTTGTTTACAATTTAACATGGACAGACAGACAGACGGACGGACATGCATAAATCGCCTCAGAAAGTGATTCTATGCATATTCTCAAAAGGAACCATGTGTCTATCTCGTTTCCTTTTGCCTGTTACAGACATATGCACAAAGACATAATACCCTGTACCACAGAGTGGTGAAGGGTATAAAAAGGTATTACAGGACCCATGTTATTTATTAAACCCAATTGATATTTATTAAAATTAATATCAATAAATGTGGTATTTTGCTACACGTTGGGCGCCATTAATATTAACAAGTTGGTTCATGTTATTGCAAAATATTCATAATTTCCAAAATGTGGTAGAGATTTTCATATTTTGTTTTCTTTAAGTGTTTTGCCTTTATTTTCGTAAGAAAAGTAATTTACAGTACGTTGGGCGCCATTTAAAGTGAAATTGATAATCTGTCATATTTTAATATTAATTAGTATCTTTATTATGCATTTTTAATCTACTTTTCTACTTCCCAAAATAAGCTCCACGTTAACGAAACGTTGACGAAATTTATGGAATTGTCATTCATGACTAAACACATGATATGTCGTCGAAAATGTCGTTCCTCTCGAAATATGAAAACAAAGCAAAAATAGTCTGAATCGAGTGTACTATAAAATATTGACATAAACAAATAGAAGAATTTTTCTGAAAATATATATAAGAAATTTTGGATAAGGAAAACACGTCTTTTATTGGTTAAAATAGGCAAGTTTAACTGAATATATAATTAACTGCTTTCTTTTGCTCTTAGCATGGGGCAAATAAATGGCAATTGGTGAAATATTGTAAGTAATATCTGAAAGATGTTTCATATTTTAAGCGTTTTATTGTTGTTGTTTCTTTACAGATGTTGTTAAAATGGAGAAAATCATCTCGACAACTTCTAAGGCAATTATAAACGTAAATGCAATGTATATTTCTTGTTATATAATAAATTACATGCCATAAAAAATATAAATTGAAAATGTATGTGTATATTTATACCCTACACAACTATGTTGTCAGGGTATTATAGCTTTGTGCAGCCCCAAATGTTTGTAACGCCGCGAAATATTGGTCCTAGACCCACCTTTAAGTATACCGATCGTCATATCTCGACTAGCTGAATCGATCTAGACATGTGTGTCCGTCCGTCCGTCCGTCTGTCCATTATAATTTGTAAACACGATACAGGCTACAGTTATGGACCAATCTTCACGAAATTTTGCATGTAGGATGGGTTCTGGCCAATGAAGACCCCTATTGTTTTTGGAAAAGATCAGTTAATATTTAGGGGATGAAATGGACCAAATACTAAATTTTTGTCGGTTTTTCCGGTCGCTCCAGAGGCCGCAATAATGGCCCGAACATCGTGAATTTTTGCGTGGAGAAGGGGATCGGGCCAAAGAATAAGCATGCCTGTTTTGATAAAGATTGGCCAATATTTAGCGGGTCAAATGGACCATGACTTTTGTGTGAAAAATGACAAAATTTGTATTCTATAGCGTATATATTTACCCCTGAATGACATAGACCCGAGAAGTTGATATTATATCCAAGAGGAGTGGTTGACCTTTAAATTAAGACCAATTATATTGTTGTATGTGCTCGGATGTGGGAGTTACACCTAAATTTTTACAGGTATCTCCGTATTCGTATATTATTTAGTAACCCATTATCACTCTAGAGAGCAGAACTATAGCGATGATCGCTTTGAAATGTTCCATAAGCTTCCAATTATGGTCAAGGACAACGCCTATAATTTTCGGTGATGATCAGATAATAATTTTGGAATGATGTGGACCGAAAACTTAATTTTTTGTGTTATTTTCGAGTCGATATATAGACCACAAATGAAAGCCGAACATCACAACACAACCCACGGTGAAGGGAATCTGGACGGAATAAACATCCGCAGAAAACGACAACTTCGCTTACCCTGTCGCCCAAGTTGTCTTGCATGAATACTGCGACACTTGTGTGAAAATTTCGTCAAAGATCTCACATTGTTGTCTGCAAAGTGTCTTCAAGGAATTGCTATTGTCTTGCACGATTTGTTAATGTTGTCTGCAAGACACTTTGTACTGGGAATGATCTTTAATTAAGTTATTCTAAAACGGTACATATATTTATGTTTGTATATATTTTCATTCAATAAAATAACACAATTTATATAACTAACATTCAACTATTTACACATAAGAGTAGCCTTTGCAAACACTTAAGCTACAACATGAGCATGACCAGCAACAGCTGGGGCAGCATAAGTGGCGGCAACACCAGCAGGGTAGGTGGCATAGGGAGCGGCGAATTGAGCGGCATAAGGAGTAGCATAGGGGGTGGCATAAGGAGCTACAACACCAGCAGGAGTAACATATTTAGCTGGAGCGGTAAAGGTGGCAGGGGCAGCATAGGCAGCTGGAGCAACAACCTTAGCAGGAGCGGCGAAGGCAGTTGGTGCAGCATAAGCAGCTGGACCAGCTACATAACGACTGGAGTATGGACCAGAATAGGCAAAAGGTGTGGTGGTGTATGAAGACAAGGTACCATCATAGTTGTGACGTACATCAACCTGGCTGCTACCACCGGCGGCATAAAGAGGAGCATTAGCGTATGCTACGGCGGGAGCAGCAGCGGCAGCGAAAGTTGTGGGAGCCACAACAACAGCGCTGGCATAAGCCAAACAAGCAGCAAAGACAATGACCTTGAATTGTGGAAATAAAATAGTTACATTTTGGATTAGTATGGCCTTAAATAACTGTAAATAACTTCTAAACTTACAAATTTGAACATTTTGATGGGATTGTATTTAAATGGAACTGTTTACAGTTGAATGTGTAACGGTGTTATGCCTTTTTTGGTCTATGATAAAAGCTTTTATAATAAAATATAAGTTTAAACTATTTTATTATGCTATAGCTAGTTATTTACATGTCTAATTACCAAATGCAAGCTATTACTCCGCATTTGAACGTGATAAGATTTACAAGTTATCTGTGGTCACAAATTGTTTTTATATATTAAATTTGGTAATGAATTTATGTTATTTGTTGGTTATGTAGTTTTATTGAATGTACGGGTTGAAAAAACCAGTGAACGGAGCAGTATAGTAGGAGGGACCGACCGTTAGGGTATCATTGATCGACCAAGGAACTTTTAGTTTCAGTAGATCTATATTCTGAGCTTGGGCATTATTTCGTGGTATTTGACCGATTATCCTCTTTCTTACCCTGGCATCTTTTCCGAACTTTTTTCCCCCGGGGTGAACATCAAGGCAATAACGTGCATTTTACACAGAGATATTTTGATTGATTTGACTAGTTGATAATTGACCGATCATTAGCAAAACAGCCCTTCTAATTAGTTATACCGATTCCCTTCCCCGTGCGTTGTGATGTTCGTTTTATAATTGTGGGATATAGTGGACTTAAAAAATCACATACATATTAAGTTTTCGGTCTATTTAATCCCATAAATATCATCTCCTCTTTACCCAAAATTATAGCCGCCGTTCTTGACCATAACCTGAACTTCATGTGAAATTTCAAAGCGATACGCGCGACCTTTCCGCCCTCAGTGGAGTAATGTTTAAAAAGTTTGTCGACCCCTGTAAATATTTGCTATAACTCCCACATACGAGTCTCTTTACATTGATACTAATTACACTGTGCGACACGAAAATTTTTCAGGCGTTCTAATGTACCAATTCTGTTTAGTTGGAGTCCCTGGATCACGAAAATACCTTTGGTTTTTCTGGGTCACTTCGAAAATTAATTTTATAACGGTAAATATAGAGAAAACCGTAATTTCGTGGATTTTCCATTTGAAACTTGAATAACTTATTTACTTTATAACGGAATTATATTATTCTTTTTTCTTTAGAAGAGTACAATTTCTCCTTTCAAACAAGATATATATTTGGTAAATCGGTAGAGTATTGGCTGAGTTACAGCGGTTGAATTGTGAAAAATACGCATAAAATGACAAAATTTATTTTTCTTCGGACTGTACGATGAAATTATGATATCAAGCCATATAAGTTTTATTATATTACGGGGAAGAAAATTAAATTAGCTTTCGAAAATGATAAAAATCAAAAAAATCGGTTAAAAAATGGATGACTTATACACATTTTTGTATTGATTCTAGGCATATTCTCTAAAGGAACTATGGGTCTATCTCGTTTCCTTTGCCTGTTACAAACATAACGGTTTGTAACAGGAAACGATACAGAGCCATATTTCCTTTAGAGAATATGCATAGAATCAATACAAAAATGTGTATAAGTCATCCATTTTTTAACCGATTTTTTTGATTTTTATCATTTTCGAAAGCTAATTTAATTTTCTTCCCCCTAATATAATAAAACTTAAATGGCTTCATATCATAATTTCATCGTACAGTTCGAAGAAAAATAAATGTTGTCATTTTATGCGTATTTTTTCACAATTCAACCGCTGTAACTCAGCCAATACTCTACCGATTTACCAAATATATATCTTGTTTGAAAGGAGAAATTGTACTCTTCTAAAGAAAAAAGAATAATATAAATCCGTTGTAAAGTAAATAAGTTATTCAAGTTTCAAATGGAAAATCCACGAAACCACGTTTTTCTCTATATTTACCGTTATAAAATTAATTTTCGAAGTGACCCAGAAAAACCAAAGGTATTTTCGTGATCCAGGGACTCCAACTAAACAGAATTGGTATATTAGAACCCCTGAAAAAATATTTTTTCTTATTTTGTAGCACAGTGTTATTTTTAATTTAAAAGTCCTCTCGAATAGACTAGTAACTTCTCCGGCATATAAATTTTGTAAATGTTTTGCCTTTCATCATGTATTATTTCATGATGTTCAGGTCATAATTGCGGCCACTGAAGTGACCACAAAATCAGACAAAAATAAATTTTTTAGTCCATTTGATCGCCTAAATATTAACGGATCATTACTCATAGGGGTCTTCCTTGACCAGAACCGTGTGGAGACCCGTATTGATATTTCGATGGTACATCTGCCCATTATTAATTGGACTATCTGTATATTACACTGTTAGACAAAATCAAGGTCAAGGTTTGAGGAGTGAAAATTTCCTATTTGGCATTTAAAATTTTATATGCAATGTTTTTGTAGAATATTGCGAGGATAACAAAGACCAAAGGTTTCCCGATTGAGATATAATTTTTCACAGAGTACCGCATTCAGCCTAGAATAATACCAGTTATTATACCCTTCACCACACTGTGGTACAGGGTATTATGTCTTTGTACATATGTTTGTAACAGGCAAAAATAATCGAGATAGACCCATGGTTCCTTTTGAGAATATGCATGGAATCACTTTCTGAATCGATTAATGCATGTCCGTCTGTCCGTCCGTCCGTCCATGTTTTTTTGTTAAAAAAGTACAGGTGGCACAGGTCACTTAATTGGACAAAGGACGAACCC